GAGCTTTTTTGTGTTTAGAACAATATATACTAATTTTTAAAGTATCATATTGAATTTTCAATAAAAATCTTTCAAATGCGACTGTAGCTTTTTTTCCCCAGAACTTTGTCTTCAAAATAAGGGTGTCTTATATTCCGAAAAATACGGTACTTTATTTTCAATGTGTTTGAATAAACTTGGCATTAAACATAGTTAATAAACTGAATTTTAATATTATACAAGTTTTAGTTTCTTAATTTTAAAAAGAAATACTTGAATAAATCCTTAATGTATGAGAATCGTGACATTTGATTGCTCACTGTTGCCCATCTCCTGAATTTAAATCAGACTTTCTCTGTTATGTACATAGTTCTTGATACTTGTATGTGTAATCAGGTAAATATCCTTGGAAGTTACCATATAGAGCAGCATGCTGGAAGGGATGAAACATTAACAAGTTACTGGCTCAGAAAGTACAACTTTGAACAGTTCGTCTTATTAGACTCAAATTATAGAGAGAAAAGTTGTAAAAAAATATTGAACACTAAATTTTGTTTTTTTTTTTCAGTGAAAAAAATCCTATGTGGGATAAAGAAGTACAAAGTGATGTCATAGAAGAGTGTCAAAAACATGGTGGTATTTTGCATATATTTGTGGATAAAGCTTCACCACAAGGAAATGTTTTTGTAAAATGTCCAACTATTGCTGCAGCAGTTGCATCAGTGAATTCTCTTCATGGACGTTGGTTTGCAGGTACATATATTTAAAGTTTCTTCTATGTTATACTTTCTTATCCATGAAATACAGAAGTATCCAGTTTTTTTTTTATTACATCACATCTTTAAATTATCAGTACCTAGTTGAGTTTCATGGTAGCCACTATATTTTATGCTTGGTAGAAATATTATTAGTAGACAGTAATTGCATTTCTGTCTTTTGTATACAGAAACTAATGTGATTTCTAATGCTTTTTGTTTTTAGTACAGTGCTTGTACTTCATAGGTTTTATTTTCCTACCAGGGGTATTAGATCACATTAGCATTAACTCTTAAGTTTTTAGTGAATTTATGAGTTTTTTATTGATTACTGGTAAAATCTTGAATATTTGATTTTTGTTGTTAACTTTGTCTTGATAGTAATATTTTTGTAGTAAGGTATCTTGGGTTTTGATTACTAACCCTCCCAGTAGATCTTGTTTAAGAATTCTATTCTTGTCTTGTAATATGTGTCATTTGGTTTTTTTCTTTTATATTCACTTGTATAAAATATAGTATATATTATAAAAGTATTTTGACCTGTTGTAGTGAAACATTTTACCCATACATTTAAATAAATTTAACCAGATACTATTAATCAAGAAAACAGGGGTATTAATATTCAATTAATAAAAAAGTGAGATGTTAATGTAATTAAAATTCCCATTATGATGGTTTGTATTTTGGAGTTACAGTGCTTCTGAAATATTTAGTTTTAGAAGGCTCAAAACTTTTTTTAGGTAATGTACTCATGCAGAAAAAGTTGAAATTGATAAAATTAAAATCAAATTTTCTGAACTTAATACAAAATCTTGTGATAATTTTTTAACCTTCTCTGAATAATTTCTATGAGTTTCTCCACGTTAAATCTTTGAGCCTGTCTGAACTATTATTTATTTTCCAGGTCGTGTTATCACTGCAGCCTATGTGCCCTTGATCAATTATCACCACTTATTTCCAGATGCTCTGAATGCAACAGCATTGTTATAAAAGATTATAAGGAAGACATGAGTCATAGTATTTAAGTTATTAAAACATCCACTGTGTTTGTGAATTTTCTTCTGGTTAAAGGGGGGGGGGGGAGGTGAAAGGTAAATTTTGACAGGAGATAACCTGAAAACTTTATACAAAGATGGAAAAAAAAAACCAGTGAAAAAAAATGTGATGACAATTTGCTCTCAGTATATGTTGCTCTGTTTTAATTTTAACATATTGCATGCATTTGGTTTAATACACAACTATAACCCCCCCCCCTTTAAACAAGTTTTTGGTTATTGTGGTGTTATACAACAGGTAGAAGGTTCTTGTTAGATCTCGTGGAAGTTATTTTTCATTCACCAAATGGATATGCTGGGTATGTATGTGAACTGTGTTAGAATGTATTTTACGTATTTCCATTCACACCTATTATACACAACATATATGTAAGAAAAAAAGGGGTTACACTATATATTTCTAAACCCAAAAAAAGTGAAAGTAATTTCCATTATCTTAAACTATCTAGTTAACCTAGTATCACGTGAAATTTTGTCATGCTTACCATTTTGTATATTTTTCATTGTTGTACATTTGAATTTCATGTATTGTAGAATCAATAAATGTCATCAGAACATTTGCTTTAAAGATTGCTTAATAGTTTTAAACACATTTTTCTTTCAGTTTTAATATATAGACACTAAGAAAAGCACACGTACTTGATATTTTGTTTTGTCTTGAGAACAGTTTGTCAAAGTATATGACAAAAAGTAACTTATCACAAAATGTATTAAGTTTTCAAACTTTACTCTCTTTTTACTATCTAAATAATATGTTAGTGTCAACTAGGATGTGTAGGAATTTAGTGTGTAGGATTTAATGATTTGTAAACAGATTATAGTGGACTTTGTAAAATGGGTAATCATTTTTCTAAGCTCTGCAAGTCACACTAATTGTCTTCAGATTATAATTATACAAGTTTTTAAAATCACAAGTTAGTTTTTCTGATAACAGTTGAAGTTTTAAGTACAAAAAATATACTAATTTTTATAAGTGCTGAGCACAGATGATAATCCATTGTGTAGCTTTGTGCATAACAACAGACAAACAAAAAATAAAGGGATGCTCAACGTAAATATTTTGTAAAGTAATTACACACATTGGTGATGAATCTCATAATCCAAATAATGATAAAAATGTATAAAACTGTTATTTTTACTCATCAACCTATTTTTATATATTTATCCCCGAAAAAGATTTATTATTAGATGACATTGATATACTTTTTTAACTTTAAGAGCTGGGTATAGGTCAAAGTGCGTGTGTATAGGTCAAAATTCGTTTGCCAGGATCTTTTACAGAGTGCCATTCAACATGATATTATGTATTTGATGTGTTATCAACTATTCATTTTACCTGGCATTCTTGATTTAATGACATTTTGTGGTAGAGTGGAGTAAATACTAAATACGGTATAGAAGGATATTGTATAAATTAGCAGATATACGTTTCGGAGGTTCTAGAGGTTATACATATCCATGTACACTGTAGAATGGACAAAACTGCTTTCGTTCTTCTCATGAACATCATCTTACATGGCGACTTCTTGTCAGAGTGTGAGAGTCAGACTGATGTCGTAGATTCACAGATATCTTTTGAGTACAAATACTTGTACATTTTATTAAAAGCTAGCCACAGTTCATGTAGCTACAGTAGTGAATTTCAAATTATAGTTCTCCAATATGGGAACCGTCCATTGTGCCTATCTTGTGTGTTAACCCTGAGGCAGTCTTCAGTTCATTTTTATATATTTCCAATGTTGTTGCTTAGTGTATCCAATATTTATTCAAATTTACTGATACTGCATGCATTAAAAAAATGTATACACGTTCTAAATTCGCAGAATGTCTTGGAAAGTACTCATAATTCCGTGTTAAGATTCACGATAGTACTTCTAAATACAATTTTAAAGAGTTGTAATAAAAATGAGATTTGAATTAAGCCTTAGGAAACAATTACTACTTCTTTGGTGCATTTTACATATAGTAAAAATATTTCAAACAAATTCTCATTTATCATATAACCACCCAGCAAGCACCCCAGTCTAACATTTTGGTTAGATAAATTATACTTGGGATAATTTTAACAAAATTATAATTTTCTTTAAAATGTTGGTTGGTAAGTAAAAGACTCTACAATACATATCATACATGCTGTCAATGGCAGACAGCACCATCAAGTGAAGGAAATGTATCGTGAAACATTCTGAAACAGCAGAAAAAAGATCCCACGTTTTTTTACTGAAGGTCCCAAGATGTAAATATTTACACCAGGAAAGGGAACTTTGAATTAGGGAGTCTCTACATTCTTCCATAATGCTGATACAACCTGTAGTTAAGTGATAAGCATACGTTATATTTTATTCTTCACTTTTCTTAAACATTTTACAACTTACTGATTTATGTTGTAAGAGATGTAAGTTTTTATATCGAGAGGTAATAACATATTAATATTCGTATTTAAACGTGTAAATTAAATATCCGTTAAAACGTGACTGTCACTTTATGGACTTGCAACAATAAAGTCCAGGGTAGCCTATTGTACAGCTTTGCGCGAAAAGAAACAATGCTAAATTGCACGATTTTATTCATTGTAGGACAAGAAAATTTTGAATTAAGTGTAAATTTACAAATTACATATTTTTTTACTTATACTCAAAAGGAAGACTTGCATTTGTATTGAAGTTTGCAAACTGTTTCAGAAAACATTTGTGGTTCAATTTATTAACTAAGTCTTTGATGTTTCAAATAGACGTCGCTGTGTGAACGCTTAAAGAAAACTTAAAAACAATGCATTTTTGACTTATCCATGAAGATGTTACTACTTTATTTTTTCTTAAGAATTTATTGCAAGGCATTTTATTTGCATACACAATATTTGAATTTCTGTTTAACTTTACAATGTACTTGTAACTTTAATTTTCATTTAGGGTGCTTCTGTCATAATCTGTGGATCACAGGATCAGAACCCGTCGCCAAACATGCTCTCCCTGTCATCTGTGGGAATGCTATCATTAAGCACGGTAGTGCTTATTAAAATAGTATGTAGGGATGGGCTGAGAAAAAAAATGAGTGCCGCATTCAATCCATTATTGTATAGTACTTACAATTAACTTTTAAAGTTGAGATGTAGCCTTATTTGAGCACCTCATTGCAATGATCGACTGATTCACTGGTTGTGAGACTCTCAGTATCGTTTAAAAGTGTTGCTAAAGTGGGGAATTGGAAACTAGCTAAAGAGCCAAATTGTTACATCTTTCTTTTATCTTTTCCCACGCTAACCAAAAAAATTGTGAAGTTTTGCAATGTCTTTAGTACGACAGAAAAGCATTTTAAGAGCACTGGAGAACAGGCTATCACTAAGCACGATGTTGCTTAGTATAAGCTAAAAAATCATAATTTTAGTGTGAACGATGTTACCATTACCCCCTGAAGCTAGCTTTCTTACAAAAATATGATATTCTTTAAAAAGTACAGGGTGAAACAGGAATTACGAGCCAATAATAGGTGACTGTAACATGCAGAATACTCAATGCTTTGTACACTATACAATCAGTGTCTTTAGGAAGCCAACCCCTATATTATGTATGAAGTGAAGGAGTAAAAAAAAAAGTCAATACACATAATATTAAATTTTATTACACACATTCATATAATACCTTAACTTTCAGTCAAAGGGGAAAAAAAAAAACGTCACTAAACATGTAATAAAAATATTTTGTAAACGTAAAATGATGTAGGAATGGCAGTGCCAAAAAAGAATACATGAATATAGGGATGATACAAATGTACATTTTTAGTATGTTCTTTCCTTACTGTAGGTTCCTCAACATTAAGTCCCAAGAAGTCAAGATTATGACCTGTGATGTTTAATAATCTATTGTAGTCAATTGTATGGTATAATATCAGTATCTAAGGTTATATTCTACAAGTACAATGAAGAAACTGACAAAACTTGTATGACATTAACAATATATATATATATTACCACCGAATTTAAAAAAATAAAACATGTTTACTTACCAGCTTACTTCAATGAACATGTTTAAAACAAAGAGGGGAAACAAGTGAAAAAAAATTCAAAAATTAAGTATGATGTAGGGATGACAATGTCAAAAATTACAGAAACAATGTAGGAATGAATACACAAAAACTGTACAAAAACACTTCACAAGTAGCCAAATATTTCCTAGAATAACTTTACCCACAACTAAATGTTGAACTATAGTCAGTTGCATGAATTTAGATTTGAATAAAATCATTTAAATTAAATAGTGCTATACAGTCTTACAGTGGCTGGTAACCATAAGCTTGTAAGATTGGCTTAGTACTTACTGGCAACCTATGTAGGGATTTTTTGTATAGGCTTTTATATTCATCCTTGCTTTGTTTCTGTACTTTTTGACTGCCATACCTACATCATACTTAATTTTTGCAAAATTTGTTTTTATTACTTGTATGTTTGTTTGAATTTCGCGCAAAGCTACACGAGGGCTATCTGCGCTAGCCGTCCCTAATTTAGTAGTGTAAGACTAGAGGGAAGGCAGCTAGTCATCACCACCCACCGCCAACTCTTGGGTTACTCTTTAACCAACGAATAATGGGATTGACCGTAACATTATAACGCCCCTACGGCTGAAAGGTCGAGCATGTTTGGTGTGATGGGGATTCGAACCCGCGACCCTCAGATTGCGAGTCGAGCACCCTAACCACCTGGTCATGCCGAATTACTTGTAATATATACCTGTTAACGTTTAACAGCACAATTAAAATACATAAAGTGATACGTGTATTTACGTGAGCGGTAAGAAAACCTATTTTAAATAAACAAAACAACACTAAGTTAGGAAAGATGTAAAGCGATGCATGTTGTAAATGTGCAGTTACAATCTAATAGAATTACAATGTTACGTATAATTATTTCGGGTATTTTAAATTCCATATTTCTTGGTCAGCGATAAACTTACGGACTTTCAATATTAACATCTGTGGTGGACAGAGCACATTAGCCCATTGTATAGCTTTGCTCTAAAAAATGCTGCATAGTTTCATGATTCATCTGTCAAAGATCATTCAGAAAAATATCCTTGTAAATTAGTTGACGTAGCACCCGAATCTGAAGTTAAATAAACTTTTAGTCTAAAAAAGCTGTATAGTTCCATGTAAGAGAAATTTTATCGAAAGTAACTAATGATTGTTATAAGTTAATAAAACATTATCAAATTAGTGTGGCCATATTTTTACTTTCCATACTTGTAACTATTGTTCTGCAAGACTAGTGATTGTAATGAGGTGACTGAACATTCTACGTACTTTAATTAGTAGTAGAACGATTTAATTTAGTTCATAGAACCACAAAATTATTCGCTTGGATTTACTTATATCGTTAATAGATATTGATTTAAAAGTAATAATTGAATTTCGTGATAGAAAATGTTATATTATTTTCAGCTTTTCTGTTTATTTTCTTTCACACCAACCTAGTTATATTACTAGCTAAACAATAATACATTCAACTCCTTTATGCTATCATGAATATTTTTGTATTTATGATACTTTTACTTCAAATATAGTTCTTAGTGTCA